GGGGGGGCTGCCCACGGAGGTCGTGGCCCTCTTGGTGGCTTTCAGGGCCCTGGGCCGCAATGTCCCTCTGGCTGCCTCCAGGGCTTGGGGGAGCAGGCGGTTCTCTACAGCCCCCCCCCCCCCGTGGCCGGTGCCCCTTAGTGTCCCTAAGCGGGGAGAGGCCGGGGCCTGGCGTGCCCTGGAGGGGTGGGTGGATGGAGGGGCGAGAGAGGAGCCTGGGCTGCGTTTTTCACGGCGGCTGAGCTGCCTCTTACAAGATGGGCGGCCATACCAACCGTTGGGCTCCGTGGGGGGGTGTGTGTGTCCCGCTTGGGCTGCCTGGGGCGTCTGGTGACACCGCCTCTCCCCCCACAGTGACTTCCTCATCCTTCCCGGCTTCATCGACTTCACGGCAGACGAAGTGGTGAGTCTGGCGGAGGAAGGCGGCTTCCCGCAGTGCCCCTGGGGAGCCCTTCCAAGGGGGAGGGGGCCCCGGCTGTGCTGGGCAGCTCCCCCTGCGCTGGGAGATGAACAGGGCAGCACAAGCACACACACACACACACACACACACACACACACACACACACACCAGTTTCTCCTCCGTCAGCTCTTCCTTCTCTGCAAGGCTGAAGGGAGGGGAAGGACGGAGCGGGGGGGGGTCCCTTGGCTGGCAGGAGAGCCGGCCCTCACCCCCCCCCCGCCCTTTTGGCCTGCAGGACCTGACCTCCGCCCTGACCCGGAAAATCACCCTGAAGACCCCCCTTATCTCCTCCCCCATGGACACCGTCACCGAGTCGGATATGGCCATTGCCATGGCGGTGAGCCTCTCCCAGGGGCTGGTGGGGCGCCTGCGGCGGGTCTGCCCAGGGGTGCCAGAGCCGGGGCCCCGGGGCCATGGGGCCCGAGGGCAGAGGCCTGGACTGGGCAGCCCCTCCGGCCCCGGGGCTTCAGGCCTCCCCCCACTTTCCCCCTGCAGCTGATGGGGGGCATCGGGATCATCCACCACAACTGCACCCCGGAGTTCCAGGCCAACGAAGTCCGCAAAGTCAAGGTGAGGGCCGGCCTGGGTGTGGGGCGGCCCAGGGACACTGGCGAGGGAGGCCTGGGGCTGGCTGGTAGCCCCCCCCCCCAGACCTGCCTGCCAGGCTGCCCTGGGTGGGGGGCGCAGGGGGGCGCTCGTCAGAAAAGCCCCCCCCTCTTCCACAGAAGTTTGAGCAGGGCTTCATCACCGACCCGGTGGTCCTGAGCCCCGGCCACACCGTGGGGGATGTCTTCGAGGCCAAGATCCGCCACGGCTTCTCGGGCATCCCCATCACGGAGACGGGCAAGATGGAGAGCCAGCTGGTGGGGATCGTGACCTCCAGGGACATCGACTTCCTCTCCGAGAAGGACTACAATACCCCTCTCAGTGAGGTGAGGCAGCGGCCCGCCTTCCCTCCTGGCCCCCCCAAGGGCGTCCGGGGCTCAGAAGCCCTCTGGCGGGGGGGGCGGGGGGGCTAGCGAGAGGCAGCCCCTCCTGTGGGGCCATTGCCCGGCTGGATCGGTGCCCGTGCTGAGCCCAGTTTAGTGGGCGCGGCTCTCTTCCCACTGGGTCCCCCAAAGGCAAACCGGCTGGTTCACCCCAGGCCCAAAGCAGCGGCTGGCATCCTGCCGCTCCAGGGGCCGAGGGGGCCGGCTGACCCCCTGACCCCCCCCCCGTTCCCTCCTTCAGGTCATGACCAAGCGCACTGAGCTGGTGGTGGCCCCGGCAGGCGTCACCCTGAAAGAGGCCAACGAGATCCTGCAGCGGGGCAAGAAAGGTGCGGGGGGGGGGGCTTGGATGGGGGGGGGTCTTCCGTGGCCTGCAGGGGAACGGGGAGGCCGGGTCCTGCCTGGCCCAGCCCGCTGCAGGGCGGCTCCCTTCCCGGCCGTGGGCCAACCGGGCGCTCCTGCCCTGCAGGCAAGCTGCCCATCGTGAATGAGGTGGATGAGCTGGTGGCCATCATTGCGCGCACCGACCTGAAGAAGAACCGTGACTACCCGCTGGCCTCCAAGGACTCCCGCAAGCAGCTGCTGTGCGGGGCAGCCATCGGCACCCGGGAGGACGACAAGTACCGGCTGGACCTGCTGGTGCAGGCCGGCGTGGACGTGGTGGTGCTGGTGGGTGTGAGGCTGGGATGGCAGGCTCTGCCCCCCCAAATTGCCCCCCCCAAAGGGGGCTTAGCTGGCCCGCGAGGGGCTGCTGCTTCCCGCCCTCGGGGGGTGCGTGTCTGGCCGGGCGACTCTGCTCGCCTGGCGCTCCGGGGGGCACCTGTGGGGTTACTCGGGGGGGGGGTCCTCATGGTCCTTTTCCCCCTCCCAGGACTCATCTCAGGGAAACTCCGTCTACCAGATCAACATGGTTCACTACATCAAGCACAAATCTCCGGAGCTGCAGGTCATCGGGGGCAACGGTGAGCGTGGGGAGGCTGCAAAGGTCGCAACTCTGAAAAACAGTCATAAGTCCCGTTTCGCAGTGTTTGTCCTGACTTTGAACGGTCCCTAAACAAACAGTTGTAAGTCAAGGACCGTCTCTACTTACCTGTCACCCTGCGGGCAGATAAACCCATCCTCAGATTGTTAAGCAAAGCACCGTGAAAAATGTGGGCGGCCTCCTCTGTGGGTGGTGCAGGTTTCACGGCCTGTTTGGGATGAAACCTGGAGGGTCGGTTAATCCACCGGGGGGGGGG